AATTTGGATTGCTAAGGATTCTGTATGAAACAGACTTAAAACAGAAACTAGAAGACAAAGACAAAGTAGTATTCTTCCCAAAAACAATTTATCTGTATGAAACTCTTGCAAAAGAACACCATAAAAGCACTAAACACCCAGTAAATTAGAATAAGTAATTGTTTCTAAAATGCAGTGCAATGTTAGAATGTACTGTATGTTTGGAAGAAAATGTTTTTTTTTAATAAAGGGACTGCAGTATAAACTTCATACTCTCAGTGGGCTGTGGAAAAGGTTGATGCCTTTTTATATGGGCATCCAATTTCAGAGAGTTAAACCTTTTCAGTAAAATATTGCCTCATATGAGACAACAATACCAACGTCTGCAGGGTCCTCTGAGAAAGCTGAAATTCAAGATAAGCCAAGGATTTTGCAATTTGAATCACTGGTAGTAGCAAACCACATTTTAAACAAAGCTTGAATTCAGGGCTTAAACAAGGGATCCACAAGCAATAAATTAGGCAAAAGAAGAGATATAATCCTTCAGGAATTCATGATGTACCCCAGACTTGCTACGCTTTTAAGAAGGCAGAGGGTTATCGAAAGAAAAGCTGTTTATGTCCTCTACAGTGTTTTGAAGAAAATCCTATGCAACTTTAGCAAGACATTTCCCAAGGAAATAATATAGATTACTAAACGAGGTGGTACAGGCGGCCATGCACTTAAAATTCCCATGAGAGTTTGCACAGGTCAGTCTCACACCCACCAGAAGGAAAACCCATAACGTTAGTCTTTAGTTTTCTTTGATCCCTGTTTGCAACCCACTCCAATTCAAAGTATAATTGACAGAGTGGCAGCAGGAGAGAAGAGTTCTCAGCATCAAAATGCAAAGCCGTGGCTTTTCAGATCCGCCTGACAAAAATGTAGCAGTTGCAACAGAATTCAACTAGCATTATTCAGCAAAGACTGTTTGTATGTTAGGGCTTTAACACAACTAAGACATGAATTGATTTTTAAAAAGGAGCAAACCTTAGTTAAATATCAAGTATCCTGGCTCAGTTATTTTGTATTATAACTTGTAACAAGACTTCCATAATAACTTTACCCATCCTCAAAAGTTGCACAATGGTGTTAGTCTTTAACATTCTCATTTACAGATGGGGGAATCAGCCCAGATAGCATCTTGCCCAGGGCCACCCAGTAAGACCAGGACTGAGCTGGGATATGAAATGAGATTTCTAACATCCAAGCCTAATAAACTATTCACTGGACCACACTGGTTTCGGATCCAGATGCAAAATGAGTCATGACCCTGAAAATAAGCTGAATATTTTTGCCATAGCTAGGATAAATGAATCATTCATATTTCCTGCAAATAATAAAACAGGCTTCGCTTTTTTTCTCAGCATGCCAAGTTCAATCCTGCCCCATTTCAATGTTCCTGTGTTTTAAGGAAAGGGGCATATGGTTAGAAGCACCAATGTTACTGCTTCCAAACCAATTTCTAGAACGTTTGTTCTTCTATACCCTTCTGAGTAGACACAAACATTTAGTTGTATTTTTATGTCAAACATGCAGGCAGATAAATAAAATGTTCCTAGCCTATTGTTGTTGTTATTATTATAGAGCTTCTCTTTGAAGGAGATGGGCAGTTAAAAATTGTGATAGATAGATAGATAGATAGATAGATAGATAGACAGACAGACAGACAGACAGACAGATGTCTTATAGTTTTGACTAAGAACCATCCCTGCCCTTTGTAAGAGACAGGACCATTATTTAAGAGTTAGTACAACCTTGTGCATATTAAAATATAAAGCAGACATTTGCTTAGAACTTTATTGCTGTAACTTCTATATCTTGTTATTTGCAAAATGGAAAAATACAATGATCATAATTTAGCAGGTATTCTGAAGATTCCATTTTGAAATTTATGTCAGTTGCCTTCCAAAATCTTGATATACAGAGTGATTTTGTTCCCCCGAGATTTCTTGGAAATGCTTTTACAAAAAAGCAAAAGAACTCTATTCCAACCAGAATCCCAGGATAGTAATCTTGTGTTCCACTAGGTTGCTAAAAGTTCTGTCAATATTTCAGCCCAAAGACTTACTTTACTATGGACTTTACTGGTATAATGACATCTCTTTCCATAGAGTACCTTATTGCATTTGAATTACAAATAAACCTTTTTTTCTGATACAATGCCATTTTGTATTTCTTGTTTGCTTGTTTCATGAAAGGGATAATAAGAGCCAAAACATATAGTGATGCTTTATCTATCGGAACAATTAAGTAAATAAAAATGTAACATCAAAAATTTTTAAATTTTTAAATAGAAAACCGCATGAAGATTCTGACCTCTCCCATGAAAATATAGATTATTGCAAAAATATCTGAAGATCATTTATTTGTAAATACCCATGTTAATTACTAATACAGCAATGAAGCTCTAACATTACTTTTTGTCTTAATTTTAAAGAGTTATCTTAAATAACATTTATTTAAGCAAATAGATCTTGGAAGTTTAAAAATAGCTTTAATGACTGCTTACATTTATAAAATTTATAAATGGAACATTAAAAATGCATGAAAACTGGCTGAGTGACTTTTGGGCCAATCATTCTGTCAGTCCAACCCATCTCACAGGTTGTTTTGGTGGGAAATATGGGAGGAGGAGAAAGTATCAGATTTATTTATAAAAATAATAAAGGCGGAATAAAAATAATTTAAAAGAAGAAATGTGACGAAAAATAAGTTATTTAAAATATATTAATCACATATGTTGAATCTATCAATATGCTAATTTATTAAAGATATAGATTAGTGTCTTGAAAAGAAATATGCCACAGAAAAATCAAAAGTATGTTATCCTTTTCTTCCTTGGAATGGATAGTTCCAACAGAAATAGAAATAGTTAAATTTCAAAAGAGGAGGGAAAACAATTAGTTCTGAAGTTTAAAAATAAAATCATACAAGAAAATAATAGTACAATTTTACATAATACCTAACTAACAATTGAAATATTAATATTAAATTAGCCATAATTAAAATGTATAATTTAAACAAGAAATCTGGATTAGACAGATTGTTTTATGACAGAAACAGGTATGATTAGAAAAAAATATTTGATTTTTTAATTACTCCAAGGGAGCAACAGCAAAATTAAAATAACATTACCAATTCTAATTAAAGTACTGAAAATTCTTAAGTTGCCAAAAATATTAAGGACAGTTAGAAATCATTACCAATGCATAAAAATCAAGGAAAGCTGAAAAAGATCTGGTTTATTTCAGATTTTATGACATTTAACAAAAATTCTAGAATTTATCATATGTAGTATTTTCAGTTATACTGAACACCAGGAAGAACATGTAACCAATTTTGTCCTATTGGGATTCATCAAAATAAGTAGATAGATGTTATTTTATAAGGTTCAAATTCTTTACGAAGAATTGAACTCACAGACCTTCATACTTTAAATGATTATATGTAGCACATTAACTTTAGGAACTATCCATGTCCTAATGCTCAATAGTTTAGAACTAGTTATATTATGTTATATATGCAGTAGCTTCCCTTAATTACTATGAGCAGTGATACTGATGTTACATTATGTCATCATGCCCCATGTTTGATATTGTATATGACTTTCATTCTCCCTCATGAGGTGTGAATAAGCTAAAATCCATATATGGGAACATGACATAATGTAACATCTATATTAAAGGAGCATAGTAGCTCATGTGGTTAGGAGGCTGGGTTGAAGGATAGGATGTCCCTATTCAAGATAGGAGTGCTGCTGCATGTTGGGGGGTGAGTTTCTTCAGGTCTAACAGGGACAAAAAAGGAACCCCCAGGGGCATCCCTCGGCAACGGTGATGTCCTTGACTAATCCTTTCAACCCAGAAGTGTCTTAAATGGTATCTCCAACATGAACAGGATGGGGCACATCCAGGGGTGGGATTCTACCAGTTCGCACCTATTCGCTAAAACCGGTTAACATTCCAAGCAGTTCAGAGAACCGGTTGTTAGAAGAAATTACTGGCCTAATCCTGTAAGGAAGGCAGGAAGGAAACATTCTGGTGTTGCTTATAGAAACTGCCTCTCCATTAACCCTTATTACATTCTTGGCAGGACTAGACTTCCTGTCTCAGGAACTTCTCTGAGTCTTTCCCCCCTCCTTTGCTGGTACTTTGCTTGTGTGGAGTGACCATTCAAAGTTACAATGGCACTGAAAAAAGTGACTTATGACCATTTTTCACACTTACGACTGTTGCAGCATCCCCACAATCATGAGAGACCAGGCGAGGAGATGCGTGCCCCGATGTGAGTGATATTGAGTTGGCCACGCCCAGCCAATAACATGACCACCAAGCTATGTCCACCCAGTCACATGACCACCAAGCCACACCCACCAACTAAGCCACGCCCACAGAACTGGTTAAAAAATATGAATCCCACCCCTGGGCACATCTATATTTCTCTCCTTGGAATGAATGCTTATGTGATGGCAGACACTATATACCATTCTGTTAGCTCATGGGATTTTTATAGGAATAATCAGTAGAGAAATCATAATTAAAAATCATTTAGATTAATGTAACCAAACATTTGAAATACGAAGACTATAAAAAAACCCTAAAGAAATATACTTTAGTAAGTACAGCTTCAGTAGATGCAAAATTTGATCAAATGTCTGAAACAGTAAAAGTCATTTTAAGAATTAACCTTTCTGTCTAGTTTAAGGATTTACAAATGAACACATAATTTCATTTTTTCTATAACCAAACGGCATAAGATAACTGATTTTAGGCAGAGTATTAGGATGTAATTTTTTTATCTGGAAAAGTTTATACACATATTATTTTTATGTCATTTTGGTGAATAAAAAAAGGAAATAGATAACCTTATATAGTTTTATACTTCACTCGTAATACTCACAGTAAAAATGAAGTATTTATGTACATACCAAGATTTTTGTATTATAAATTTATCTCTCATGTATGTTTACAAAAGCTTACGTTTCTTTTGAAGTAGTTTGAGCTTCTTGTAATGTCACCTTTGGTTTAGTGTTTCCATTTTTTGAAGTCAGTTGTCTTCTTTTTCTACTTGGAACTATATCAGTAATATCTGGACTACCAAGTAATGGATCTCTTCTGGGTTTGACTGTCAGAACAGAAAAGATAACATGATAAGACAGGGAATTAAATTATCAATTCTGGGAACATTATGAGAAGGCTGCTTATCTATGGTACTCTGAATGGTAATTAGAGTAGAAATAATTCAAGACAATTATTTTAGGCAATATGAATAGCAAATGTTACAATTGTTGATGCCTTGACAAATGCACATTTATCTCTCTGGGCAAATTTTAGGCCATATTCCTCTATTCATCTTACATTTGCTTCTGCTCACAATGTTAAGTTTCCTCTTTCTTCACTTTATAGAAAAATACCAAATCCAGTCTAAACTGACTATGCAACCAACCTTCAAACCATAATAATATAAATAAATAAATATTAAACTTGTATGTAATCCAACTCACAACAACTTTGGACAACTCACAATTATCAAGCAAAGGAAATCCCAGTAAAATCAGGAAAAGGTAAAAGATGGCCAACAAAAAAGCCAACACAGTTCTAGTCTGCATAAACAGAGGGATAGAGTCAAGATAATGTGAAGTGTTAATACCACTTTATAATGCCTTGGTAAGGCCACACTTGGAATGCTGCATTCAGTTTTGGTCGCCATGATGTAAAAAAGATGTTGAGACTCTAGAGAGCAAGATGATTAGGGGACTGGACACTAAAACATATGAAGAATGATTGCAGGAACTAGGTATATCTAGTCTAATGAAAAGAAGGGCTAGGGGAGACATGATAGCAGTGTTCCAATATGTCAGGGTCTGCCACAAAAGAAGAGGGAGTCAAGCTATTCTCCAAAACACCTGAGGGCAGGACTAGAAGCAATGGATGGAAACTAATCAAGGAGAGAAGCAACTTAGAACTAAGGAGAAATTTCCTGACAGTTAGAACAATTAATCAGTGGAACAACTTGCCTCCAGAAGTTGTGAATGCTCCAACACTGGAAGTTTTAAAAAAGATATTGGATAACCATTTTTCTGAAGTGGTGTATGCCTAGGCAGGGGGTTGCACTAGAACAGGGGTCTCCAACCTTGGCAACTTTAAGACTTGTGGACTTCAATTTCCAGAGTTCCTCAGCCAGCAAAGCCCACAAAGTCCACAAGTCTTAAAGTTGCCAAGGTTGGAGACCCCTGGACTAGAAGACCTCCAAGGTCCCTTCCAACTCTGCTATTCTATTCTATTCTATTCTATTCTATTCTATTCTATTCTATTCTATTCTATTCTATTCTATTCTATTCTATTCTATTCTATTCCATTCCATTCCATTCCATTCCATTCCATTCCATTAAATTCTATTGCAAGCGTCACAGTGCAGATAGAATGGAGTAAGGAGTCCCACTTTTTGGTGTCAAGGTCTTCATTGGAGTTCTAAACAACAGCAGAATGAGGATCATCCAGATTCAGGCGAAAACTTATTCTTGAGGTAGGTGCTTCTACAGAGAAAGTGCACTTCCAGAATCCCGATAAATAACATTGTTTAATCCAAGAAACCCAAGGTGTGCTAACCCTGCAATACTGAAGAGGTTGGGGAGATACTGTACAAGACAAATAACCAGGTCCTGTGCCACAAAGGACTTTATAGTCCTTTATAGTCCCAACCATCCCCTGAATTAGATTAAGAAGCAAGCTGGCAATTGGTGTACCTATGGGCATACTGAAACATCCACATCACTGCTCATACTTCTGCATTCTGGATCAGTTGAAACTTCTGTATAGTCTTCTATGTCAGCCCTGTGTAGAGTGTGTAGCAGTGAAATATGCTTTAATCTAGTAACATACTACTTCCAAGAGTAAACTTTCATTTTATGAACTTAAGAGTTCTAAACTTTTTTAAAAAGTTTACATTCTCTCTAGAGGTAGCTCTACCATTTTTTTTAGCATCTTCAAACTTTTATTTTCTTTAGAAACATTTCCAAATAAAGAGATCAAAGTTTGCAAAAGAAAAAGACGGGAAATTCATTTTCCAGATTTCCCTTTTCTGATTTGAAAGAAACCAGCTTGATGGCATACAATCTCATTTTTACGTTTCCCAAGATGCAAATGTGAGAGGAAATAAGCTTTTTTCCCCATTTATGAATTGATCCCCAGGATTTAGGTTAATAGATAGAACACACATTAATTCAAGCTTTTAAACAGAGGATAATTCCATTACTAGAATAAGCATACTGGTCTCAATAGGTCTCATTCCTAAACAAATAAAAGATATTAGTGATAATAGTTTCACTTATTAAATTTAAGTTCTCACAGATGCTGTTTGATTTTTCTCCATCATATAAAAATGTTTTAGTCATATCAAGACTTAACATTTCAGTTCACATGTAATATAAGTACTATAAATTATATAAAGAAACTGTATCCGTACACATTTAAAAACAAGATATTTTACACAATATAACCTCAGATTAACAATAATCACAAATCCTTGCTGTAATAATTTAAAACAAACTTGTTTCCTGATGCATTCTATTCTGCTATACTAAAATGCACAGAGGTGAACTCTTGTGTGAAACCATTCTAGGAGTCGAAGCTATACAAAATATTTAGTTTAGGCACCCCAAAAGATAATAAAGAATAATCAAATATCTGCTTCTGCTCAAAGCATTACAAATATTCAACTGATTTTATAGAAAATGTAAATGTTATATTTCTTTCAGTTTGGTGTAGTGGTTAGGGCATCAGGATAGAAACCGGGAAATGTTCTGACCTTAGGCAAAGAGCCAACTGGCTGCCTTTGGTCCAATTACTCTGCTGAGAAAATTGTAGGGACTTATCCAGGCAGTTGCCAGGAGTCAAAGAGATTTGAAGCTCCCTCCCCCACAAACACACTTATTTCAAATGTGGCATGACCCAAAAAGTCTGTTCTCTTTTGTATTAAGGATGAGATTCCATAATTTCTATCAAACTCTTCTTTTTTGTTTCATGAGCAAGCAGGCATGGGCATGTAATGAGTACATGGGAAGAGAAAAAACAATTAATGTTTGCCATGGTGGAGAATCCATTTGTTTGGATCAGAATCTACTGATCTTTTAAAAAAGAAAAGCTTAAAAAGCGTTTTCTTTGCTTACATAATGTTCATAGAACTATAAAGTTACACATAATTTGTCAAAGAGACAAACTATATTTGTCTAACTGTACCTGTGCTCCTTAAGATCTTCAGGAATAACTGTTATTAATTTTCCACTTGAAAAATTCATTACATGTTATGTAGTATCTCTTGAAATGAACAACACAACGTCAAGCAACTAAATGAAATTAAGATTACTGGTTTTGGTTAAAACTAGCACAAATATTTGAGGTACTAAAATACATCCCTTTCAAAGTAAAGATTATATTTTTTTCTAAATATTTCTGTTATGATAATTGCCACTAAAGCCAAAAATGAAGAATAAGGGAAAGAGATAAAATACCCACATTTATTTGCATTACAACCAAATTGAAAAAAAAACACAAATGAATTTTAGCCACACATCCTAGCCCTGTGCTCTAAGGCACTTATTGCAATAGAACTTATATCACTTCACAGTGCTTTACAGCCTTCTCTAAGCAGTTTAAAGAGTCAGCATATTGCCCTCAACAATCTGGGTCCTCATTTTACTGACTTCAGAAGGATGGAAGGCTGAGTCAACCTTGAGCCAGTGAGAACTGAACTGCTGGCTGTTGGCACAATTAGCCTGCAGTACACTTCCCACCTTTACAAGATATATCAATCAAACAGGGTTTAAGTAAAATGAATCTTTAGCTCAAAATGAGAAAAATAAAATTATGTCGCGACTACGCAACACACGCTTTTGAATCGAAGCCACAGCGACCTGAAGGATGGCATTCCTCTTCATCAGAATAAACTCTGTATCATAATAATATGCGCAGTCTATGTAAAATGCTTTGAGATGAAGCTATACATATTAACCACGATTCATGTGATTGAGTTCATACGAATAATTATCATTAATAACGGTAACCATGGGTAATAAGGATAATCAGGGGTAATGAAGGGTAATGAGGGGAAATTATTATAAATATCGAATCCCAGGAAACTCGGGTTAGATCCAACTTTATTTTGTTTGCTTAGCTATTATCTCGGATGCCTTGCGGAGGAAGGAATAAACAATAAGCTTTTCTGTTACCAAATACTGAAGCGAAGAGTGTCTTATTTTCTCCCTGCATTTGTGCCAAAGAGTAGCTGAGAGGAAAGTTGGATCTAACCCGAGGCTACAAAAATGGATGTATGGATAAAAACGAATAATACTGCCTGTTTATATAAAGATGGGTTGTATTGGAGAGGGGATAAAATATATGTTCCATCAAATTGTAGGAAAAAGATATTATCCCAAAGTCATGATGTAAGGCAGGCTGGACACTTTGGATTTTTAAAAACACTACATTTGGTAAGGCGGCAGTTTTGGTGGCCACATATAAGATCAGAAATTGAACAGTACATTAAATACACGTTTGTGCTACTACGAAACCTCAAGTAGGAAAACCTTTAGGACTATTACAAACTGTATCGGATCCAAACCGGCCGTGGACTTTATTGTGGAAATGCCCAGCAGTAACGGATATACAGTAATCCGGATTATCATAGACTTGTTTTCAAAACAAGCTCACTTTACACCATGTAAAGGATTACATTTGGCAACAAAATTAGCAAACCTATTTATAAAACATGTATATAGATTACATGGCACACCCAGGAAGATAATTTTGGATAGGTGTGCAATTTACAGTACGATTTTGGAGAGCGTTTGTACGCCTTTTAGGATGCTCTCAAGGTCTTAGCTCTGCATACCATCCCAGCACCAATGGTGCTGCTGAAAGAGCTAATGCAATGATTGAAAGATATTTGAGATCATATACATCTTACCAAAAGCGAGAATGGGCTGATTTACTTCCATTTGCTGAAGTAGCATATAATAATGCTATACATGAAAGCACAGGATATAGCCTATTCCAGGTAGTAAATGGGATAGAATTTGTGCCAATCCCTGATTTACAATGTGACGAACAACAACCCATAAGTGTCCA